CCCCCCCGCTGTCTCTCTTTATCTCTGCCAGTGTCTCCCGCGGTTTCTCTGCCTCCGTGTCGGTCTCCGTGCCCTTTGCTTCCGTGTCCCTGGCTCCCCCTGTGTCTTCGTCCCCAAGTGCACCTTTCTCTGTGTCTCTGCCTCGGTCTCCCTGGACGTCCCCTTTTCTCTCTTGGCCTGAGCCTCACTAAAATTCTCTTTCCGTGTCCCTGTTTTAATCTCCCTGTGCTGTGCGTTTCACTACCCTGGATCTTGGAGGCAGCGTCTCCGGAATTGTTTCTTCTGATGTTTCTGGGTTTCTCCTAAGGTTTCCTAACCTCACCGGTGACATTTTGGATAAATCTGGACAATTCTTTGTTGTATGGGGTGGGGATGGGGGCTGTCCTGTGCATTGTTGGATGTTTTGCAGCATCTCTGGTAGTAGTGACAACCAAAAATGTCCCCAGATATTACCAGGAAGTTCACCTGGGGGGCACAGTCGTCCCTGGTTAAGTCGTCCCTGGTTAAGTCGTCCCTCAGTTTCTCTTTCTCTCCCCATGGAGCTCTTTTTGCTCTGGGTCATTGTACAAGCCTGTCTCTCTATGTCTCGTTCAGTATCTCTCTCCCTGTATTTCTCTGTCCCTCCTTCTCTCTCCCTCATCACACCCCAAAGTCCCTTCCCCCCCCCCCCCCCCCCCGCCCCAGGACCTCACCTGTCACCAGCAGTTCCAGCGTATCACTGGGGTGGGACCAGACACCCAGATTCCAGCCTGGATTCCGGTAGCAGCAGTGGTAACTGCCCCCCTGGGCTGGGGTCACCCCCTCTAGGAAGAACTCTGCCAGCTCCATGGACACATCCCGATACAGCACAGGGGTGATCTCTCCAGACTTGAAGATTGCAAACCTCCAGGCAGGTTGAGGTGCCCGGCACCTCAAAGTCACGTTGGCCCCAGGGGTTACAACTGCAGCAGGCTGAGCCCCCAGCCATGGCTTGGGGTACAAGGCTGGGGGGACTGAAAAAACAGGGTTGTTGGGGCCCTGGGATTCCTGTGAGCCTGAGGAGATGGGGTGGGGAGAGAATCACCTGGGGCAATCCCTGCCTCTTTCTCATCCTTAGTTTCCTGCTTGTAAAATAGGGGAGATGCTGGACCCCAGTCAAAGATTGTCAAGACTAGTTGCAGATTAGAGTAGCAGAGCAACTCCTGAGCTTTACTCCATGGTTTTTAAACATAATGTCAAGGGATTGGGTCCCAGAAATCTGTAATTTTAAATTGCTCTTCAGACTACTTGTAACAAAGTCAACATATTTCAGTGGTTGCCAGAACTTGCTATTGATTTGGGTAAAAAACAAAAACAAAAACAAAAAACCTCAGACCAAATTCCAGACCAAATGCCCCAAAACCAATTCCAGGTTAATTAAAGACCTACATTGTTTTATTTTGTTTTGTTTTACTGTAAAAGTATTAGAAGAAAATATAGGAAAGTATATTTGTCTTGGGGGTAGAGAAAGCTATCTTAAAAAGTAAAACAAAAAATTCAGAAGAGACAAGGTTAACTAATCTGATGACTGCAAGATTTTAAAGTTGTGTATGAGAATAGACAGACAGAGCTAGAAAAAAGCTATAGCACTGGCAGAAAGGACTTATTCATTAATCACACAGATTAAGAGTATAGAAAGAAATCCTAAACCCAGCCCAGTTGAAAACTGGACAAGACATATGAATCAAGTAGTGCACAAAAGAGGAAATCCAATGGATGAAAACACATGGGGAGGGGGTAAGTTGCTTAACGTTACTGGTAATCATTAAAAAAAAAATTAAAACAACAGTAAGATTTTTTTGCCTATCAGGTTGTCAAAAATTAAAACAATGGTTTATATCCTGTTTGGGTGAAGATATGGTGAAACAGGCAGTTAGATACACTTGAGTGCACCTTTTGAGAAGGCAGTTCATCCCTTTCTATCAAAATACACAAAGGGCATGCCCTAATAATTCCACAGTTTCACCCTAGACAACTGTACATACATGGGCACAAAAAGCTCACATTGGAGTACTCACTGAAGCGTTGATTAGGGTGGGGCTGGGAGAGGACGCTGGAAACAACCTAAATATACATCAAGAGGACCAAACAAACTAGAATCCAACCATACAATGGCAAATGTTAAAAAGCAGTTAAAAAAATGTAGAGTTCGTTATAATAATATGGAAACACCTCCAAGAGAGATTGTAAAGTGAAAAAATGTAAGATGCAGAACAGTGTGAGTCATGAAATATCAATTTTGCCTTGGCAAGACAACAAAGAAGTATATAAATACATGTATGTGTCTGAATGCATGGAAACTTTTTGTAAGGAATCAGAGCTTATTTAAGGAAGATGAGGAAGGGGAAGAGGGAGGTTATGTGTCCTTTGGGAATCATTTTTTAAACCATGAATATATGTTAGCTTTATCATTTAAAAATAATAATTTAAAATAAATTGATAGCTAAGGTATCAGTGGTTTTCCGGGCGATTCTTATTTGAAGTTGTAGTATCATGAGGGAGGTTTGAGAGAAAGAGATCTCACCAAATGGAAAACCTGGAAAGAAACTCAAGGCTATCTCAGGGTGGAGGATTCTACTCTTGTGGAAATGGGCTTCCAAATGGGGGAGTTAATTTGGCATTGCCTGAGGTCCTATTTCTTGAGCCCTGCACTATGCCAAGCTTTGAGTCAAGGGTTTTTTACACATGTGATTTTTTAATTCATTTTTAAAAAAATACTTTTATTTTATTTTTTAAAGTAATCCCTACACCCAACATGGAGCTCAAACTCACAACCCCGAGATCAACAGTTGCATGCTCTACCAACTGAGCCAGCCAGGGATGATTTTATTAAATCCTCACAACAGCCCATTTCACAGAGAAGGAAACTGAGTAGCAAGCAGTGTTTTGTTCAAAGTTGTAAATGAATAATATGGTGAAAGTGGGGTTCCAGCTTAGGTCTCTTTAGCTCCAAAGTTCATGGTCTTCACTACTCACCTACACTGGTCACTAAAGGGAGTAAGATGTGAAGGAAAGAAAGGAAGGAGGGAGGGACAGAAAAGATGAAAAAAGGGAGGAGAGGGAGGGAAATTTGGAAATCTGGGATGAGTTTGAGCACCAAAATAAAATCTGAATAGTTGGAAATGGGTTGTCAGCAGTTTACAGGTGAATGGATGGGAGATACTACTCACCAGTTGAAGTGAGGTCTGCATGACACAGAGGCCCTGTAGAAGGTGGAGGAGCTAAGTCTTTTCAAAGCCCTAGGCATCTCCCAGTCCTGCCTCACTGCCAACTCAGACATCTAAATCCTTCCTCTGAGGAACAGGAATCTCACCCATATGTCCGCTCTCAGTAGCCATAACTCGGGGCTCTTAATCCTCACCTACTTCCCAAGTCTGGCCCCAACCCCCTCTTTCCTCTACACCCAGTGATCAGACCCTTGGACTCCACCTCTTCCAGGAGACAATAATCTGAGCCCACAATGTCTCCTCCCTGGGGGTCAGGAGTCTGGATCCCCAGCTCCCTCCTTTCCAGAGACCCAGGTGTTCTGGCTTCATCCTTTTCCTACATCAGAATCTAGGACTCTACACTTGCTATCCCCAGGAGTTCGGGTCCTTCGCACCCTCCTGCCTCAAGACCCAGAGAATCCTGCCGCCACTCTCTCCTTGTCCAGGAACAGGAATTCAGGACCCATGTGTCCTTCTGTGTTAGGACCCAAGGATTTAAGTCCTGTCCCCTTATTCTGGTCTAGAATTCTGAACACTCAGCTAGTGCTGCCTGACGATCCTGCACCTGCCCTCAGGGAGACTCATTAGCCTTCTTCCTTTCCCCCTCCCTACTCAGGGTGTCCAGGTCCCCAGAGCCTGTGTCTCTGCACCCCAACCAGCCTGGGACCCAGGGAGAAGGGGGTGGGGTGGCTCACAGAGGGTCAGCAGCTGGAGGATCAGCACCAGAGCCATGGCGGGCAGATCTTGGCTGGAGCAGAAGCAGGAGCCAGGGTTCAGCTGTGCCCTCTCACCTCTCAGGAAATGCAATGTCAGAGAGCCAGAGCCAGAGCTCTGTTTAAGGAAGGGAAGAGGGAAGTGGGGGCCTCTGCGTGACCGTGTCACAGCCCCATGGTGCTGTGGAAAAACCTGGGAGAAGGGGCAGTCATAACCAGTTGCGTTCACCAATTAAAAAAAAAAAAAAAAGACTAAAAATTAGCACCTATTATGTGCCAGACCCTGTGCTGCGCTATTCTGGGGGCACAGAGAGGACTCAGACCCCATTACTGCCCTAGAGCAGCTCCCAGTCTGATGTAAAGACAGAGGCCGACCAGGTGAGTTAAAAAAAAAAAAAAAAAAGCTACCCTAGAGGTCACATATGGCACTGAGAGAATCCACAGAAGACACCTAACCCTTCTGGGACGAGAGTTAAAGCTTCCAGGACGAACTGATTTTGAGCTGCGACCTCAAATGATAGCTGTCATTTGTTCTCTCCCAGCCTCCGTTTCTCCATCTGTAAAACGGGCTTTCATGAGTAAACTCTAACACGAAGACTGTTGCATTCCGCCTTGGATGGGTCGCAGCTGGAAGACTGGGAGTACGCCTCAGGCTTTGACTCCTAGGTGAAGAGACCGGTTTGCACTTAATTCCGCAGCGCCGCCCGCGTTTTCACGGCCGCTTCAGAACAGCTGTTCTGTGCCAGTACGCACGCGCGGACTCAGACGGCTGAGGCTCGCGCGCGGGGACCAAAACTCCCAGAGCGCTCCGCGTCCTCGTCCCCGCCCTGGACCGCAGTGCCGTGCCAGGGCGCACGCGCAGACTCAGAGAGCGGCGACCCCGGCGCGGGGACCACAACTCCCAGAGTGCTCCGCGTGCTTGCCGCAGCCGCCGCCTCCGCTGCGACCAAGATGGCCGGGAGTAAGTGAGGGCGGTAAGGGCGCGAGGGGTCCGGTGGTGCCGGGGCTGAGGCACGGCGGAGTCTGCGAGGAGGCGGAGGGGTCCGGGCCGGAGGGGGACGCCGAGGTCACGAGAGGGGAGGGCTCCTCCAGGGCGGGGGCGGCGCGAGAGGGTTAGAGGTCACCGGGGGCGTCCCCTGCAGGAATGACCCTCCTCACCCGCCCCTCCAGGACTCGCCACCTTCCTCAAGGATGCCTGGGCCAAGGAGCCGGTGCTGGTTGCGTCCTTCACCATCGGGGGCCTCGGTGCGTGAGCGTGCATCACCCCCACTCTCCCCCAAGATCCCGTCGCTCCCCACGAGCGTTCCAGTACCCCTCAACGCTCTGTGGTCCCCTCCTGTGTCGGCACCCCCACGACGACCCCTTGCCCACCCCATCCCCAGTATTATGACCCCTTCATGAGCCCCCTTCTTCCCACCCCGTACGCACCTACCCGGGAGGTCCACGGTCCCCCAGAGGAGAGGTCCTCAGCCCAGGCTGTGCATTAAAAACACCTGAGCAACAAAAATGTCCGAATCCTACCCACTTTTTACCCTCGGCCGCCCCACCCCCACCCCCCACGTTCAGTGTGGAGCTGAGTGGGGTGGAGGTGGGGCTGGGGAATCCTATCCTGTGAAAATCCCTCGGTGGTTCTGTCGACAGCCTCTGTTCTAGAACAGGGCTGCTCCCACTTTAATGTGCGGGAGGTCTTGTGAAGATGCAGACTGTCATGGTACAGGTCTGGGATGGGGCAGATCTCCCGGGTCCCCAGATCTTGTCGGTACTGCTGGTCTGTAGGCCACACGCCGCGGGTGAGGTTCTAGAGCAGTTGTCCCTTAGGGCAGCCACGGGCCACACTGGCCGCTGAGCGCCTGAAACGGAGCTCGCGTGAATTGAGCTGGTACACTTTGTGCTCTAATGTAAAGTACACACCGGATTGCAGAGCGTATGACAAGTCATTCTCCGCTCCTTTTGTGTTGATTATGTGTTGAAATGATGTTTCCAAGACACCAGGTTAAATAATTTTAACAACTCATTTGTATCTTTTAACTTTATTTTTAATGTGGTTGTTAGAAGTGTAAAACCAAATACGCGGCTCATGTATTTCTATCAGACAGTGCTGGCCTAGAACATTGCGTTTACCCCCTACCCCTGCCCCCCCAGACTCCTGGCTCCCACCCTGGGTGGACTGTAATTTCTGGGCAACTAATCCTTTTACAACGCCCCTCCCCCGCCCCTGCTTTCCTCAGTTTGTAACCGTAACCGTTCGTTATTCCGCAGGAAGATTCCCAAGACACTGCGCTCGCCCGCCACCACCCTGTACTCCCTGACCGCCTCTACACTCATGTACTCACTCCATGACCACCCCCATGTCTTCCCTCCTCTCTGCCCTCCAGGCCCCATGTTTCCTTGAATTGCTGGCTCCCACCCCCTCTCTTTCTGCTGATAAATGGGGATCCCAGAATGCCAAGGGGGTCTCCTGGAGGGGCAGGACCTCCCTGCTCCCCTCCTGCCATGTACTTGACTCGTAGTTTGCCAAAGTTCAGCTTCTGCCTTCCCCTCCCACCCCGACCTGAAAGCCACCTTCCCACGGGCCTCACCCCTGTCTCTCCACAGCTCTAATTCTGCCCACCCTCAGCCCCTTCACCAAATACACCACCATGATCAACCAGGCCACGCCCTACAACTATCCAGGTGAGTGGGAGCTGAAGGGTTGGCCCCAAGCCGGAGTGGGGGTGGGGTAACCTCCCTGTGCTGGGTGGGGAATGATCACCTGAGGGCAGGTCTTTCCCCTGCAGGGGTCTGAGAATCTGCAGCCTGGGCTGGACTTTATTTTTTCTTCTGAGATCTAATCCGTGTACCCTAAAACTCATTTCCTGTTTTTGCACTTTGAATTTGTTGTTCCAGATTTGTATTCCTTTCTGGATTTTAATCATTCTGTCTCTGTGCTTTCCCGCGGCTCTAGGTCTCTATCTCCCTGGTTCTCTCTGTGTCCCCTCTCTCGCCTCTCCCCTGGGGTGCCCCTTCCCTCTTTGAATATGAACTGACAAACTAGCCTTTACGGACCTCCCAAGATCTGCTGGTCTCAGTGGCCCACCCTCCTGCCCCACAGTGCCCGTCCGAGATGATGGGAACATGCCCGACGTGCCCAGCCACCCCCAGGACCCCCAGGGCCCAAGCTTGGAGTGGCTGAAGAACTTGTGAGCACCCCCGGTGACATGGAGGAGGCCCCTCCCCTGAGCCAATAAAATGCAAAAAGTGACCCCAGAACCTGAGCTTGTGTGTGATCAGAGGTGGAAACAGTAGACAGTGGGCCAAGGCGTTTCTGGGGGTCAGTTTATTGGGGGTGGGGGTCAGTCAAAGGGGGGGCTGGCTAGGGTGGGGTAGGGCAGCAGTCTGTCTGGCCCCCGAGAAACCCAACTGGAGTCCAGGGCCTCATCTGCTTCAAAGCCAAAGTCCTCCTCGACCTTAATCTGGGGGAGAGAAGGAGCCGGCGTGAGCAGGCCCACCGGCCTCAGTTCTGGCTCCTCAGACAGCTTCCTCTGTGCACCTGGGCGAAAACCCTGACACTCCGGCCTTCCCTTCCCCCCGTGGTCTCTGACCCTCCCTCCCCACTCTGCTCCAACCTTCTCCCCCTAGCCTCCTCCAAGTCTCTCCTTTTCCACCCAAGCCCTCACCTGGCCTTTTCCGGCTTTTTCTCCTTCCCTACCCACCAGCCCTTCCAGCCCCACCTCCTTTCTCCAGCGGTCCCCAGCCCCGTCCCCAGCCCCGAGCCTGCGAGCTCCGCAAAGCCCAGCCCCCACAGCACTGTTGCCAGACCCAGGAGCCCTGGTCCCACCTGCACTGGGGCCAGCTCTGGAGTCAGCACAGCTCCCGCTCGGCGTCCGTCCCGGGGTGCTCGCCGCCTCTTGCGTCCGCTGGGCCCTTCAGCTGGGGTCGGGCTGCTGGGCTCTGGGGGTGCAGGCATCCTTCGGGGCGGGGACAGCCCCTCTTTCTCTGGAGGCTCGTTCTCAGCGTTGCCGGGGGTGGGAGCATCTGTGCCCTGGCTGCCCTCGTCCTGGGGGGAGAAGGGGCAGCAGGGGAAGACTCTGTCCTGGTGCCCAGCCCCTTAGCCCCCCAGCCCCCCAGGAGGCCGTGCTCACCTCCAGGACGATGGTGAGCTGGCTGGTGCGGTAGTCATCACCGTAAGTGTCCAGCACTCTCATGAGGAACCTGTGTCCAGAGAGAGCCCACCAGGGGCGCACAACCTCGGCGTCTGGTGGTGGGGGAAGGTGTACCCCACAGCGCAGCCCCAGCTCCGAAGCCAGGGTGGCCCTGGACCCGCAGACCCAGAAGATTTGGAGCTCCCGAGTCTGAGCCCTGGGTGCCAAGTACTTGAGCAGCCGGTAGGACCCTGGGCCGGGTGAGGGGACCTCCCTGCACCTGCCTCCTGCTCTGTGGACGGGACAGGACAACACTGACCGGGCGCATGGCCGTGAGGTGAGAGGGCAGCTAGCGGGGGCAGCTCCTAGTGCTCGGCGTAGGTCCTGGTGTCAGCCGGCGGCCTCCTCCGCAGCCGGAGGGCGAGACAAGGATGGGTGCAGAGCACTCCTGCCGGTGCCACCTTCTCTGCCTCCCCCAGTCCCTGCTTCTAAGAACCTCGGGGTTTTTTAGCTCTGAATGCTACCTGGCAGCCAGCGCCTGGGCGGAGCGCTTTACATGCAGTCTCTTTCCAAGTGTGTGTGTGTGCACCTGCTCTGCGCTGCGCGTTCTCGGTGCTAGCGATACATCGGGGAACCACACAAAAACCCCTGAGCCTACTGAACTTGGGGGACAGTCAGCAAATCGACAAAACAGAGTAAGCTGGAAAGTAGGCAGGAGGACGCGCTGGAACCTCAAAAGATGGTGGGGGATGCCTCACTGAGAAGGTGAAGGAGTGGCAGAAAAACATATCCGGCAGAAGGGACAGCCAGTGTAAAGGCCCTGAGGCGGGAGCAGCATGTGTGCTGTGCTCTTGGCAGAGCAAAGTGTGATGGGCCCTCTGACACAGGGCCCTGTTGG